AGAAGGGTCGAGAATGGTAGAGATGTGCAGGTTTGGGCGGATGTTTGACTTCCGGGACAGGGGTCGAGTCGAATCCAATCAGCCAGGCCTTCGGGCATCAAGGATATGAATGTTGCTTCTTTAAGAAACCACATGGGCACGGAATGGTATAGAGAGAAAATTCTATCTATTTTTAATGCAGAGGATAGTGCTTTAATTTTGAGCATACCTATTAGTTCGGCGGATAAGAGGGATGACTTTTGGTGGACAGAAAAAAATAATGACAATTTTTCTTTGAAAAGTTGCTACAAAAAACTCACCTATATGCTGTGGGAAATTGAGGCACCCCTAAATTTAAATATTTTATTTGGCAGGTGTTAGATGGTTCCTTACCAACAGTGGCCAACTTGCGAAAGAAAGGAGTCCAAGTCCCGGAGGAATGCAAGATATGCGGTAGGGAGGCCGAAGATTTGGAGCACGTTTTTTTGGGCATGTGAGTGTGCTCAAGAGGTGTGGCAGCAGGCGAACGTGTCTAGAGCAACCGAATTGACGCAGGTCCAAGATTGGATCAAAAGAGAATTCATTGCTCTTCTATGGGGTCTATGGAAGCGATGAACTCATTGGTTTGGAAAAAGGAATGGCAGGGTCCGACAGGAGTGATTACTACTGCAACGAGTATGATAACCACTTGGAAGGAGGCACAACAGTCAAGCCCCCACACGAAAAAGCAAGGAGGCTTCGGTGAGCAGGTTTGGCGTAGACCGGGGAGGGGAATTATTAAAGTGAATGTTGATGCATTGATTGACTCGAGTGGCGACAAGAGAGCTTGGGCATGGGTGGCGAGAGATGAGCAGAGAGAGTTCATCAGAGCGAGAGGAGTCTCAGTTAGAGAAGGTTTGTCCCCGGCGGAAATGGAAACAGTAGGATTGAGAGACGCTATAAAAGGGGCGGTTGAGGTTGGCTGGTAGACGGTGGAATTTCAAACGGCACGCTCACAGTAGTCCAAGGTCTTCGACAAGGAGGAGGTTTTTCTTATATTCATTTAATTTGGAAGATATAAAGGAAATTCTTATAACAAAGAGTAATTATAGAATCTCTTTTTGTAAACGATATGCGAATCATGTGGCTCATGCTTTAGCTAGAGCGCATGTGTTACTCTTGGATCATAGGAGAGTGTTTGATGTTGCTCCTTACTATATTGTAAGCCATCTGACAAACGATTTGATTAATTAATATGAGTGACTAGTTGATGATCATAAAATAAAACCATTACTCCGTAAGAATGTTCCAAACTTCCAACTTCCAAGCTATGGTGCACTTAGGGGTGTTCGTCGGTTCGGTTTGGTCGGTTTTCGGTTTGGTCGGTTCGGTTTGGTCGGTTTCGGTTTTAAGAAAGGTGAAACCGAAAACCGAACCGTAGTACTTGAGTCGGTTTCGGTTCGGTTTCGGTTCGGTTATTTTCGGTCGGTTTGGTCGGTTTCGATCGATTTTAGCACGTTTTTTGTCGGTTTTTGTCGGTCGATTTCGGTTCGGTCGGTTTTTAATCCAAAAGGTGAAACCGTAAACCGAACCGTCAATGAATAGTCGGTTTGAATTGGTGTCGGTTTGAGTCGGTTTCGGTTTTGGTCGGTTCGGTTTCGGTCGGTTTGTTGGTCGGTTTCGGTTTTTCGGTTTTTTTGTTCACCCCTAGGCGCACTGATACTTCACTCGGATGTCGTATTCGCGTATCCGATACGTATCTGTCGGATCGCCGATCTGGGGGTAGCCAGAATTCGGGAAAAGTAAGTAGAGAAGAAGATCGGAAAAGCTTAAGTCTGTATTTTAGCAGAATAACAGCAAGAGAGTTTTATAGCGGATCCCTTTCCAATAGGACATATATTGCTCATAGGAGTGTGTTTGATGTTGCTCCTGACTATATTGTAAGTCATCTGGCAAACGATTTGATTAATTAATACAAGTGACTAGTTGATCATCAAAAAAATAAAACGATTAGTCCCTAATAATGTTCCAAACTTCCAACTTCCAAGCTATGGTGCAACGATACTTCACTCTAAGGTCATATTCATGTATCCGGTACGTATCTGATGGATCACCGACCTAGGGATAGCCGGAATCCGGGAAAAGTAAGTAGAGAAGAAGATCGGAAAAGCTTAAATCTATATTTTAGCAGAGTAATAGCAAGAGAGTTTTAGCAGAGTAATAGCTCCATAATGGGATGTATGGGAAAAAGTTTTGCAATTTCTTTTAAAAGAATTATCAACAACAACAACAACCAAGCCTTAATCCCAAAAGAATTTGGGGTCGGTTAACATGAATCAATCTATGATATCGATGCCAAAAAGAGAAGGCGGACAAGAAAAGGAAAAAAAGTAAGATAAAATGAATAAAATAAAGATACATAAATATAAGATAACAATAACACAAGAATATAACCAAGATAAAAGAAAATAAATAAAATAGCATAAAAAAGCTAGAAGATAAAAATAACATAAGAATATAAAAATATAAGATAAACGATAAAAGAAACAAGAGAGGAACGGTAGACAAGACATCAATCGTCCACATGGATGTGCGCCCTCCACTTTGCTCTCTCCAAAGCCATACTCTCATCCAACCCAAGAAGACGCATATCAGTTCTGATTACTCTAATCCAAGTCTGTTTCGGTCTTCCCCTCCCTCTATTCTCTGACTCTTCTCCCCACCCCTCAAGTCGTCTAATAGGAGCATCATTCGGTCTTCCATGCACATGCCTAAACCACCGCAAACGAGACTCCTGTATCTTATCTTCTATAGGTGCTACTCCCACCTTTTGTCTGATTACCTCATTCCTCAGACGGTCTTTTCTGGTATGTCCACACATCCAACGCAACATACGCATCTCTGTCACACTCATCTTTTGAATGTGGCATTGCTTCACCGCCCAACACTCTACGCCATACATTAATGTCGGCCTAATTGCTGTACGATAAAATTTACCTTTCAGTTTAGTCGGCATACCTCGATCGCATAGAAATCCTGAAGCATTTTTCCATTTCATCCACCCAGCTCTGATTCTATGACATACATCTCCATCTAATTCACCATCCTTCTGAATTATGGATCCCAAGTAACAGAACATATCACACACCGGTATCTCCTTACCATCAAGAGTAATCCCAGTTTTGCTACTGCTTGTACCTCCACCGAACTTGCACTCCATATACTCAGTCTTGCTTTGGTAATATCAATGCTGTCATATTTTATGTCTGAAAAAGCTAATATTTGGTAATAAATTTCAAGGTGAGAGTAAAGTATTCATATTTACGATGTTTTACTTGGATGGTTGTAAGTCTCAGACTAGAACAAACTTAAACGGACCAGACCAGACTTAAACAGATCAGATAAGACCATACAGGGACTAGACATTTAACAGACTAGACCAGATTGGAGCAGCAAATTTCAGTCCAAGTAAAAACATCCATAGACAAAAACGTAATACCATTATTTTAGAATTTTACATTGTTTTTACTTCTATTGTGGGAATTTTTTCATTTTTTAAAAGTTAAGGAGAATAATCAAACACAAATTTCAAGAATCAAGATTATTGCTCCTAGAGTTACATTATAAAAAAAGAGTATTGCTCCTAGGGCCTTTTTCTATGAATATTACCAAATCAAATAAGAAAGAAAAAAATATGACTTGTTCTTAAGTTTTCCAAAAGTGTGACTAATCATACATTTAATGTCATTTATTAAATATTACATTTATTATGAATTTACTATTACTTTAATCATCCAAAAATAATAAATTGTTCATCTTGCGGTACTGGCATAACTATCATATACTCCACCGCCACCATAACTCCCGCTTCCATCCAATGACTCCGCCGCACACAGTCCAGTGACTTCATCAGTCCATGTGGTCCAGTGACTACTCCTCCATCAACGATCTTATCAGCGCCGTTAGCGTTGTCCAGTGACTCTGCCGCAAGCTTAGGCCAGTGACTCCGCCTTAAGCGTAGATCAAGACTCTACAACCTGTAATAGTACGTAGTGACTATGTTGGCCCTGTGACTCCACCCCCAGTTACTCTACCATTCATGAACAACCGACCGCCAGTGACCCGCTAGACCATAACCTCCGGTGACTTGTTCAGACCACAACCTTCAGTGACCTGCTCAAACTGCGACTGCCCCGTTAGTGACCCCAACCACTACCCTCATCCATGCCCCAACCCTGCACTTTCTTGGTCCTCTTACCACTACACAGTAACCCACGCTACCATCCCGCCGCACCCCCAACGCCACCCTGCCCGCCCACCAGTCCAACCCTAGCCCCTCCCCATCCCCACAAGAACCGCCCCATCCTCGTACTACCCCCATCCCCAGCCCCTACAGAAATACCCCAGCCTCGCCCTAGCCCCCCAGCCCTCCCCTACCCCAACTCAACCAGACTAGTCCTTGCCGTAACCCTTTACCTAGCCTCATCCAGCCTGATACCAAGCAAACCCGTCAAACTGCCCCAGATCTGGAAATAATACGCCCCAAACTCTATCCAAATTTTCGAGCAATGTTGCCGATTGTGATAGAGAAGGGTAGGGCCGTGTGGTCGCCGGAGTGTAGGACAAAAGAAAGGAGAAGAAGATGAAGGAGTCGTGACAGAGGTGGAGGCGACTCGCGTGCGGGAGATGCAGTGGGGTGGGCGGTAGCATGGATTTACTAGTGGAAGCTTGGGATTGGCGGTAGAATGACATTAACGGCGGAGGTTAAGAATGGCAATAAGTTTAATGGGCTGAGATTTTATGAATGGATAGGAATTAAATAGTATTGATGTGATAAAGGAAAGAGATAAAATGGTATTAAATGCTCCATACGTAGTAACCAATAATTAATTAAATTAGAGTCACTTTTTTGGAAAAGAGAAAAAGAGTAATATTTTTGGAATTCAAAAGTCTAATAGTAATATATAGGCCATTTTTTCAATTTAGAAACATAAACTTCTGTAGTTCAAATTTAATTATTTGGAAGCAGGGAAAGGAAAAGACGAAACTAACTTACCCAAGTTTTGTGCTGGTTAGGAATAATATATCTGCAGTACGGAGTACTTTAGCATTTTTACCTATTAGACTATATACCAAGTGACTGCTTTAATATTTGCAAAACAAATGCTTCTTGGTTCATTCACAATTGATCCTAAGTCCTGCACTACTTCTCCTGCTAGACCAAATAAAAGAATGTGAAAATACTCTAAATTGTCACCCATGCTACTAGCTAGAGTTTAAGACAAACAGTGAATCAATGAACTCTTCTCGCTCTTGACCTTCAAAACACATGTTACCATATATTTCTTCATCAGGCTGAGAAGCTCTTGAAACTGGTAGACCAATAACACCATCCACCTCATCTGGGGCACATTGATTTGATTCTGTGGAGGTGTCTTTGTTCGATAACATCTTCTGGCACATCACTGTACCATAGAAGCTAAGCAAATTGGTGTCTGAGAACTTCAATCTATCCTCTTCCATCATCAACGAGAAGCCAAACGAACCAGTCCATGTCTCCAATGCTCCTGAAATGGCCTGCAATACTAACCTCTGCACTCCTAATTCCAAAAGTTTCTGTGAACAAAAAGCAAAAAGTATTAACACTTTACCTTTTATTCTAAAAGATCAACCAAAAAGAAGTAGCACATGACAAATAATGCACTAAATGTACCTTCTCTAATTGGTTCATTACAATGCGACACATTCCAAGTCCCCGATATTTGGAAAGTGTAGCAACGAATGGGATCTCAGCTACCTTTTCTCCGTGAACCCTTGAGATCATGACAAAGAACAGCATGTTAGCATACATACATACATACATGTGTAGTGTGTGTATTTATAAAGGAGATAAAGATAATGTTAAAGCAATTGATTAATGTATAATCATAATGAGATATACCTAATTGTAGCCACCGTAACAATTTCATTGTTTCTTTCCAAGATCGCAGTATAGAACCCTTGAAAATTTATTCGGCGTAACACAGAGCTGTGGCAATATGACAAGTTTATTAGCCATTGATTGAATCAATAAAAATAATCACAATATCTACTGTAAATTAAAGAAATAAAACTAACCGTCTACTGAATATGACATCTTCAAGAAGATCACTCTGAGTTAGATGTTCCCTTACAGGCTCGAAACACTCGTGCATAACATCAAGAGCAGCTCTAAGCTTCTTATGATTCTCATCATCTCCAGAGTTCAGTAATGTCCATTTTAGATTATCTGAATCCACTGCAATCGGCTTTCCGAGCTGTTGATCAAGCCCTGCAAATATCTACAAAAATATTATATTTACACAATGTTATGATATGGCTGAAGAATGTGACAGTTAAATTAATTTTATTTAACCAATAAAGAAAGTTTACAATAGGAATTGGCTAATTTGGTCCCATAAATATGGGACCAACAAATTTGCCACATAACTTTATTCACATTTGACTTTTCTGTAGGAATTTGTCATAACCCTGCGAAAAAGTCAATGGCAACGCCACATGTCACCACCATTCGAACCCAAACGGCGCTGACGTGGACTTTTCCAATGGGCTGTCCATAATATGGGCAGCCTTATTAATTACATTAAATGATCTGCAACTAAGTAAATTAGCAAATAATGGACACAAACATAAATTATGGACTAAATCAGAAAATTCTTTCTACAATATAGGTATGATTTTTTTAATAGGTGTACCACGTTGTCAAAATATAAAAGTTATACCTTGATCAACTATTCTCTAATTTTTCCTTTTTTTGTTGGTGTGTGGAGGGGGATGAAAGGATATAAATCATGCACACACGAAGACAAGAAAGGGTTGTTTGAATTACATGTTGGCATTTGTAGTTGCAAAACCACTTTCCTTGAGGCGGGATGTCCAGATCAATTAAACACCTACTTTTATGGCACCTAACATGATCTGCAAGAAGTTATCAATTATCACATATTGTCAAATGAGGAACAAGATCAGGAAACGAAAAACAACAGCTTATAAAAAATTAAGAAAGACGTAGTATTAAAGAGATAGAAAGGCATACATTGGAATTGACACTGATAACAACAAAGAGGACTATTCTCTGTCAACTGGTTTTTATCATTCTCATCAAATCCACTCTGATGACAAATTCCACAAGAGCAAAATGTGCAGAACCAGTCTCCATGTGGAACCTCCTGGAAAACAGAATGTTAGGGAGTTATTAAATATCATAAATACTCCTCTGATCTTCTAATGCAAGAGCTAAAAACGACATGCAGTAGTACTTGAAGAAGAAATTACCTTTAGACCAAGGCAAATAGTATGAAACGCAGAAGGGCACTTATCACAAAGAAGTAATTCACCACCATCGTGACAGATGGAGCATATAAGGTCGTGTTCTATAAAGTTGGAGCTCTTATTAAGGTTGTCCCCTTTGCGTTTCAGCTCTAACTGACACTCAGATATCGACCTTCCATCTTCCAGGAAAATAAATGCTGAAGGTCTGTGATATGTGGCACCTGCATGAGCTTCAAAGCTGCTGAGTCCATAAACCAGCTGGCAACAATCACATAGTATGCCATCACGGGAAATTTTCCCACTCTTCAACACACTTCCATCCTTCTTCCTGTATTGCACCTTCGATTCAAGAAGAACCACATTGTTCTCCACTAACCATGCCAAACCATTGCGCCTCTCTCTTTTAGAGGATGATACTAAAGGCCGGATATTAGAATCTTCATTTGAACCACCACTCTTGGATTCATCCAAGCAAAGCTTTAATTTCTTTCGGAATTTACCTATTCCAAAAATTATTTCCTCCTCTTCTGGTTCTACTTGTTCTTTTTTCTCTTCTGCATCCTTTGATTCAACAATGCTTTCCAGATACCTCATGCCTTCTGGATTTATTTGTTGGGTATACCATTCACATGCAGTGAAAAGAGAGATAAAGACTTTGCCAGTGGGTGACTTGTAACGTAGTTCCATTTTGTCCTTTTTGGAGACTTTAAACAATTCCCATTTACATTGAACCAGATGCTTCCGGGCATTCTCCTTAGCTTCTGACTTGAGTGCCTTTGTTTTAGGATCTTTGGTATTCTTTTTACCCAAAAGCAAATAATCAGTTACTGCCTTAAGATATTGTGAAGGCTCACCAGAATGCCCCACAACTGTTGGAGGAGAGACAGATAACTTTCTACATGCTTGAGGCTTAATCACTGGTATAGGATCAACAACCATAGAAACTGAAGAAACAGATCCAGATGGGCATTCATGATTATTGTTATTATTAGGGTTTATGATGAGCTGGTGACATATCTGGGTGAGGGACATGTAAGTTTTCCCTTCAGGAGAAACATAACGCACTCGATGTCCATTATTAGGAGTCTTAAATGAGTTAATGGACCAGCCTGAATATGAGAGATGCCTCTTTACTTTTAAATTCAACTCCTCAGATTTCCTGCGCTTTGATAGTGGCGTGTTTAGGTACTCAGTGATGGAGTCAGGGCAACATTCTGCTTCTGGAGTCACCGGGTTCCACCACAATTTCTTCCTCTTCATGCCGCTGCCACCTGTTGTCCGCACTGCAGAATCGTCATCATCAGAAGAAGAGCTACACTCGGAATGGGTTTCTTCATCTGATTCTTCATCATCGGAAGAATTTCCACTCCAAGGGTAAGGCCTTCCCATGAATACAAAATGTCAATCCTGCAAAACAAAATAATCATTAAAGGTCAACATATATTATAAAACATATATTATAATGAAAATCAACAACAATGAGATAATAAATGCATCAAAATAGTTTATTCAAACATCACTCGCAGCACAAAAAAACTGATCTATTAGTCTGATTATTTTTCACAGCCTTTCAATATTTTCATATTGAAATTCAAAGTAGGAACTTGTTTTTGACAACAATCATTAGTAATGGACAAACAAAAACTCAACTTTTAAGCCATACTACTAAGTATTAGCATCATTTCTGAGAATTTTAACAATTTTTACAAAATCAAGAATCATACAATAGAAGTTTCACATAAACGGATATAAAGAATCATAAATTTTTTCCCATATTTGCATACTAACACAATACATTTGGAAAAAATATAAATAAATAAATAAATTAAAATCATACTTTTAAGACTTAAAATGGTGAATGATTGAGAGGGTAAAGAACGGATCTATTGGCAGTTGAAGCTGAAGCAGGAGAGGCCAGAGAAAGTATGCTTTAGGGAAGATAGCGGTTGAAGCAGTTGTCTAGGGAAGAATACATCCAAGGTTTAACACAAATGTGGGCTTATTTTGAGAATTGGGCCCAACTTATACTGATTAAATTGCTAAACCCTCGGTAAACCCTCCATGCGGACAAAAGCGTACACCACATAAATAGCCTACAAGAAATTGCAGAACGTAAATTGGATATGCGGAAAGGCCTCACATCGTAACTGGACTAATTATGTCTAGCAAAGCAGGCAGGTAATGGCAAAGAAAGAAAAAAGGGAGAAACGGAAATCGAAACAAACAGAAAGACTGACCAAAAGTACCTATCCAATCCCTCTATTGATCAGCACTGGCGTTTTTCTCGGAGTCGGAGGTTTTGAGAGGAAGATCTCTCGTCTGATGACCCTGAACAAGAAGAATTCCTCTGGATGCGAGATCAGCAGCAAAACAGAGAAAGAAAGAAAGAAAGAAAGAAAGAAAGAAAGAAGATGAATTGGATGCCCTAGGAATTGTCGGGAGGTCGTTGTCCGTAACCTGTTCGGACACCGCAAACTGACTGACGGAGGGGCCCTTCAATCGAAAACCGGGGCGGCCCGGGCGGGGAACATCCCCAAAGCCTTCGAGTTGCGCAATTTGACCGTTGAGCAATTTGAAAAAAAAAATCCAGAAGCTTTTTAATCTATTACTCCGTATAATATTTGTTTTATGTTAAAGTAATTGCCCCATATATAGTACTAAAAGAGAGGAGAAAATCTCAAATAAGATCATGTATGATTTTTTACCTATATGAGAAGATAAACGGACTAATAATTAAGCATGAAAATTTTCTGTCTCATACGTAGTGTTTTAGGTATATAAGATAAGCAGACTAATAATTGAGCGGGAGAATTTTTTCTCTCATATGTAGTGTGTTTAGGTATTATAATAACAAGATAAATGGACTAATAATTGAGCGGGAGAATTTAATCTCTCATACGTAATGCTTTTCAGTCAAAGATAACAAGATAAATGGACTAATAATTGAGCGCGAGAATTTCCTCTCTCATACGTAGTGCTTTTAGGTCAAGGATAAGCCGACTAAAACTTAAGCAGTAGAATTTTCTGTCTCATATGTTGGACTTTTAGGTATAAGATAAGACGACTAACAATTCAGCGGGAGATGTTTCTCTCTCATACGTAGTGCTTTTATACTTCCTCTGTTCTTAAATAAATGCAACGGTCAACATTTCACATTTGTCGAGATACAACTTTGACCATTAATATAAATGATTTTGTATTAGTAAAAAAATTAAAAAAATTAGATTATGAAAATTTACAATGAGACAAGTTTAACAATATTTTTTTCATAAAATAATATTATTACATCAATAAATAAAATGTAGTCAAAGTAGAACATGTGAATAGTGTAAAAGTCAAAGTGTTGCATTTATTTAAGAACGGAGGTAGTATTAGGTATGAGATAATTCGGCTAAAACAATTGAGTGGGGGAATTTTCTCTCTCATACGTAGTGATTTAATGTATAAAAAGATATACCGGCTAAAACTTGAATGGGAGAATTTTCTCCCTTATACGTAGAAGTGGTTTTGATTATAAGATAAGCTCATAAACCAGCTAAGAATTGAGCAGGTGAATTTTCTCTCTCATATGTGCTACTTTTACTTATAAGATGGACCGATTAAAATAAATAAATAAATAATAATAATAATAATAATAATAATAACAATAATAATAATAATAATAATAATAATAATAAAGATTAAGTATGAGAAGTATAGGTATAAAATAAGCCGGCTTAAACAATTGAGCGGGAGAATTCTCTTTCTCATACGTAGAGGTTTTAGGTATAAGAAGATAAGCGGGCTTAAACTTAAGCACGAGAATTTTCTCTCTCATACATAAAGTTTTTAGGCATAAGATAAGCCTGCTAAAATTTAAGCCGAAGATTTTCTTCTCTCATACGTAGTGCTTTTGTATATAAAAAGATATAAGTCGGCTAAAACTTGACCAAAAGAATTTTGCCTCTCATACGTAGTGCTTTTAGATAAAAGAAGATAAGAGGCTAACAATTTAGCGGGAGAATTTTCTCTCTCATATGTATATTGCTTTTAGGTATAATAATAAGAAGATTAGCTAGTTAAAACTTGAGCGGATGAATTTTCTCTCTCCAACGTTGTGCTTTTAGTATAAGATCAGAGGACTAATAATTTAGTGGAAGAATTTTCTCTCTCATACGTATTGATTTTATTTATAAAAAGATTAACGTGCAGATAATTAAGCGGGACAATTTTCTCTCTCTTACGTAATGATTTTAGATATAAGAAGATAAGATGAGATAAGATGTGTAGACGAATAATTGAGCGAAATAATTTTTCTCACATATGTAATGCTTTTAGGTATAGGATAAACAAAATAATAATTGATCGAGAGAATTTCATCTCATATTTTTTCTCTCATGACCTTTTAAACTTATGAGAAGACATTTTTCGATAATTATCACCAATGTTATGACAATCAATAAATATCAAGCTCTATCACTACAAAAAGATAAAATATTCCTACCTAGATGTATTTTAGTCATGTAAAATTTATATATATGACGTTAGAGAGAGTTTAGAAAACATGAATTAATGATTTTAATACTACTCCAAGTCATTACTACTTCAATTTGTCTTTAAGGTAGTTATTCAAAACTTTAACAATTAAGTTCAATGTTTCACTCTGTTACCAACAACACTAATTATTTTTATGTAGTAAATTTTAATGGATGATGTCGATTTTTTATATTTTAATTTTCTTTTACTTTGAATATTTGTTGTATCGATTTATGCTTTTTTATATTCACTTATCATACTCCATTTTTGAAATGTTGTAAATTGCAAGAAAAAAATCTATTTTATATTTAATTAGACCGTGAATAAAAGTATGTGTAGACCAATCGTTTTTTCCCGTGCGTATGCACGGGTACTGTGCTAGTATAGTACTAAAAGAGAGGAGAAAATCTCAGATAAGATCATGTATGATTTTTTACCTAATTAGGACTATTTTACTCCTATTTGAAAACATTCGTATTTTTCATTCCATTATTGCCCCCTTATTCTTTTTACGTTTTCCCTGCGCACAAATGCTTCCCCATCCCCCGTCTTCCTGCGCACATCTTTCCCTTTCTTCCCTGCGCTCATGGATCGACTTCACCCTAACCATCGTCGCCGCCGTCGACTTCGCCTTGCGCACTAGATCCATCGACTTCTCTTTCACGCCGCCGCTGCTGTTAATTTAATTGTGCGCCGTTGTCATTAAGGTTCTCCTCCTACTCTTCTTCTTCTTCTTCTTCTTCCTTCTCCTCTTCTTCTTCTTCTTCTTCTTCTTCTTCTTCTTCTTCTTCTTCTTCTTCGATTTTCCTCTGTTTTTCTGGATTTTGAATTGATTTTTCAAATTTTCGGACTTCTGTTTTGATTTTCTGGTTTCTGGTTTCTGAGTTTTAAGAAAAAATCCGATTTTCATAGATTTTGGATGATTGCTTCATATTTGGCCAAGTTTATGGCAGAAATTTGTACATTGACATCATGTTATGGCAGAAAGACTCTTGTATAAATTGGTTTTTCTAATTTTTTGTCAATAGCTTCGTTTTTCTACTTTCCGATTGTGCTAAAAACTTATTCCATCAAAAAAATTAGTTGTTTGAATATTTGGTTATTTACTTCATGTTTTTCAATTTTTGTCAAATTTATGACATTTTTGTGTTAATATTCCAACATGAATCTGCCAACTCTTTGGCAGATTTGAAACTCTTCAGTATGGCATATGTGAATACTAAACTAAATAAATTGAACTTGGAGGCTTTAGCAAAATTAGATTTAGTCCTTCGCGTATTTCAAGTATACGTCAAAGCACCAATGTGCCGCGGCGGTTTAGCTTAGTTGTACACCATGTCTACTTTTTGCATAGGTTTAAATGATAGTTCCTAATTTGTGTCCCACTGAACTCTCTGATCCTAAAAATAGCCCTGAAATTCCTGAACGCATTAAGTTTTTGTCAGATTATTCCAAAACTCTCAAAGAAAGGGATTTTTATTCTTGCCCATCCATTATTCACCACCTTCTTCACAAGTTCTTTTGATCAATAGCTAGTTCATTAGTGTTTGCTGCCACTACTTCAAGGATGTTGTGAATAATTTTGTCATTTAAGTTAGCTAGAGTACAAGGATGTAGTTTCGGGAAGAATTTTCTTGATTTAGTCTTTCTGTTCCGTGAATATCCCTTTGACCACGTGTGCATGTTGATTGTTTTGAATTCCGTGTGGTGATTATCGTAAGTCCCGATGTTCAGTTTGCTTGAGGACAAGCAAAAGCTTAAGTGTGGAGGAATCTAATAAGTCTGTATTTAGACACGCATTTGATGCATGTTTAGATCGACTCTTGATGGTTTCCCTAATTATTTTGTGTCACAAAGTCTCATTTTTAGCTCAAGTCATAGTTACCGGGCGTTGGTTTGAGTTTTGTGTTGCTTGGAGTCAAAAATCAGGAATTTAGAGTCCGACAGCGGCGCTTGAGGAGTAATCGGGATGATTCGAGAAGCATTCTACAGTGAATTGAGAGCTTTGGAGGTCATCAGAAGGTTCACAATGAAGATTTGATGACAAAAGAGTTATAGGATTGGCTACATGATCAAAAGAAGACAAATAGAGCTTGAAAACGATGTTCAGAATGACCTTCTATCAATCGTTCAAGCATATCTCTTCGTAGAAACATCCAAAGAACACGATTCAAGTTGCATATGAAATCCAACTTCAAGGGCTACAAATCATATAAAGACACCATTCCGAGAATATGAGAGGAAGAAGGCGAAAATAGACGATGAAGCCAGATGATCCCTGTTGCGATTTCAGAATGAGACCTTCCACCATTTTATTCATATCTCTTTATTGGATGATTCAAATCCAATTCGGCAAAGTGTGGTGGATACAGGATCTCATTATATACAACTTTCGTGAATGAAGTTTTGTAAAATTCGGACTAGAGAAATGGTGTAAACAGGAATAGAGAAAAGGTGAAAAACCTTGTCCTAGTTCGACTAGAACTCGAATTTCTTCCTTTTGTTATAAATAAGGCCTTCCTAACCCTATTTTGTGGGGAGCTTAGAGAGAGTGTCTAGCACGACATTTAGAGAGATTTTCAGCCTTGTTCATCAATCTTTTGGGATTCTTTGTAAGTTCTTACTTTTTAATTAATGACAATTAATTCTATTCAGCCCAATTCTGTTGATTCTTCAATTATGAATTGTGAGTAGTTTAATTAGGGATTTGGAATTGATAAAGGGGTTAATCATGATGTATGGCTAGATTCTTGATGAATTAATTTTATGAATGCCGTTTAATTTGTGTTTGAATAATTTAACTGATATCTCTTGTAACCTAGAACGCGCGCTAGAATTACAATTGTTTGTAGAATAAGTTAAGAGAGATCTAATTTATTTTAGGACACATTCACACACACTTAATCGCTCGTTAAGAGATTAGTAGCGATTCGGGTGCCGTAAGCTCGCTCGTCTTGGCAATAATTTAGGATCCTGTCGCATGAGAGATCAGTCTGATCCCCTAAATTGTTGTACTCTACGCCGCGAGAGCGGTAAGAACTTAGTGACTAGCTAGGCTCAATTAAATTAATTTCATGTAATTAGACCTGATCTACCAGAAATCTGGTTACCCCGGAATCAATCTCTATTCTCTTCGTCGTTAATTAGAAAGAACCCATTAGCTTTAGTATTTGTTTTATTGCAAGTTAATTTCCCCATCAATCAAATCTCGCACAATTTTTTTTTTAATCGCTGAATTTAACTAATTCTTAATTCCCTTTTGTCCGTCCCTGTGGAGACGATACTCGTACTTACACCCTTTACTACAATCTATTTTTAGTGCGAGAAAACTCACATCATCGCTCCTTGCAAAAAAAAAGGGGCATAAAAGCTACAAACATCCCTATAGCACCATCATATCGTAATTTCAACTCTTTCCTTCTAGTTTCCTGAAACATCACCTTTCAAACACTGTCACCTCGATCGCTCCACGGCGGCGGTTCAGGAGGGGCGGACCGCCGATCCGTCCTCTCCCTTGTTCCGCCTTTCACCTCTCACATCTGCTCGTCGCCCGTGCTGCCTCCTAGTATATTCGTTGTATACCTGCCAATCGTACTTAGCTTCTCCCATGCTACATCACCTTCCATCCTTCTGTCGCTTGAGCGTCGAAATTAGCTACCATAACACACGATCAACCTTCTGCTCATCACTTGCCAGAGAAGCAAAGCCCAAATCAGTGTCGACCACTTTGTTTTGTGTCGTCACAAAGCTACATGCAAATTGTCAATTCAAAAACTGTGAACAAAGTCGCCCCCAACCCTAGGCATACGCCTAACAGATCGCCTAAAGAACCTTAAGGACACATTTACTTCACGGGTTAGTAAACGGTGCTTATTAAGACTCGTGTTAATAAGCGACGTATAAAATAAGGAGTGTTGTAAGCTCATGTTTACTTCAAAGGATTTAACACATCATTTAACATTAAAATGTCCAAAATAACCCTATAGATATACACACACACAAACATTCATGAAAACAAGTATATAATATAATATGTGGGGTCACCTCGTACGCTTAGTCGCTTACCCACACCCCTAACCCCTACCCCTCCCTGCACCCCCACCCCTCACTCTACCCCCAATTCCACACACTTGACCCCCACCCCTTCCCCACCCCTACCCTTACCACGGCCTTACCCTCCATCCCTACCCCCTCTACAAAAATTGAAAAGAATTATATTACTCTGAATTTCAGTTTATCGTAGCCCCCATACATAGACCCTTCTTTGGTGCAATGAAGCTCTTTGCACAAAAAAAATCAATTGGCCAAATGAGGTGTAAAAAAACAATCAATTTCTCATTTTAGAAGGTGATCATGTGAATTATGATAAACTCATATGTTAAAATACTTTACTAAAAGTTTTTGGTGTTATTTCAATCAATGTTTTATTATTGGGAAAAGGGTCAAATAAGTCTTCGCACTTACATAAAAATGTCAAATAAGCCCTTATATAGGAGGTTCTGTCCGGCCGTCGCCATTTGGGGAAGTTCCCGGTGGAATGTTTTGATGAAATTTTGTGAGCATCTTATTCATTTAGTCTAGAAGCGCAATTATCTTCAAAAATTCATTTGAATGCTTTCCACATTGAATTGTTAGCTGAAATTTGGTATGAGTACACTAGACTTAACAAATAAGATGCTCAAAAAATTTCATCAAAAAATCCACCGAGAACCACCCCAAATGGCGACGGTCGGACAGAGCCTACTATAAAAGGGCTTATTTGATCTTTTTATGTAAGTTCGAAGGCCTATCTGACCCATTTTCCCTTTATTATTTATTAGATTTGGTCAAGAAAATAGACATTTACGCTTTTTATTGTCTTTTAGATATAGTTTCAAGAAAATAAGACAATTATACTAGCATTCAATAGTCATATATATTACAAAGTTGATACTAAAAGAAGCAAATATCATGCACAAAGGGAAGAAAAGGGATCTAACATTAATAATCCACAACACCACTTGTTGTTTCTAAAAGGAAAAAGGGACAAATATGCCCACATACTAACAAAAAAGGTCAAATAAGCCCTTATATAGGACACTTTGTCCGGCCGTCGCCATTTGGGGTAGTTCCCGGTGGAATTTTTTGATGAAATTTTTGAGAATCTTATTCATTAAGTCTAGTTTACTCATACCAAATTTCAGCTAACAATTCAATTGGTAAGGCATTCAAATAAAATTTTGAAGATAACTGCGCTTTTAACTGCACAGTTATCTTTAAGAATTCATTCGAATGCCTTCCCGATTGATTTTTTAGCTGAAATTTGGTATGAGTAAACTAGACTTAATGAATAAGATTCTCAAAAAAAATCATCAAAAAATTCCACTGGAAACTACCCCAAATGACGACGGCCGCACAGAGCCCCCTATATAAGGGCTTATTTGACTTTTTTTGTTAGTACATGAGGTTATTTGCCCCTTTTTCCTTTCTAAAATAAAAAAGTTTTGCTATACTTCGAAGAATGAATTAAGCTTATTTCTCTATGGGTAATCCAAATAACATGATTCCAGCAGAACTAAAAGATGTTTCAATATTACACAATTCATATAAACAAAGTCATGTCCAAAATCTCAAGGATCAAGACCATTTAATCCGGCCATGAAGTTACATTATTGGTCAGAACCCAGCGGCATCGATGACAATTTGATGACCTGTAATCTTAATTAAGAAACTTTAACCAAATTTTGAAAGGAAATGGTCAGCTGAAGTACAAAATAGATCGCAAAATAATCACTGGAAAGACCACGTTATGAAGAAAAAGAGTTTATATTAATACTCCTTTCCACTCTATAAATAGGATATAGGTTCATATGTATATAACTCCTTTACGCACATTACCCATATCATACTAGTATATGTCAAGAATAGTTTTCCAGAAGAAGATAGAAAAATTGCACCTTTATTCTCAAAGTTTATGTACCTTTTTAATTCCTCATTTCCTGCTAATTGCTGCAATAAAAAAGCTAAACTATCAAACATCTTTTTGCAATCCGTTAATTTATTCCGCTAGTCAAATCTACTGACTGATCCGCTATCAACAACTCGCTAACATAATCTGCTAACCGTTAAATGTCAAACACGCCTTACGTCTGTATGACGTTGGAGCGCGCCCACATCAATATGAAAAGAGTTCCTAAATAAAAACATGTGAAAGTATGTTTATTAATACAAAAATAATTGAAAATACAAATGAATTATCGTGTAAAGACGATTGAACTGGATTCAAAGGGTCACTAGACAGTAATCCCAAAATATATAGATATATGTGGAGTATGAATTAATTAAACAGAATTGCAAGGTGTGATGAAGTTATGGAGTCCAATCTTAGAGCCGAGGGTGATTAAATCACGGTGCACTTGAGCTCTAAAATCAGCATAAGTGAAGGGCTTATAGTTGGAGCTCTCGATCACAACATCATCTTCCGGGAAAACAAAGTATCCTATTGATATTCTCTCCTTCTCTTTGTTCACCTTCACCCGGTGCTTTGCACTAGCATATTTGTTATCACTAATTGCCTGTAAAATCCATCATCAATAACATAAATATTATTACTTCATATAATTGAGAACATAATAAAGAGTTATTAATGCTTTGCACTTTTAAATTTCAAAGTGCACTTTTTAATTGAGAATATAATAAAGCAAAACAGCTCACTAAACTGTCTGTGCTTTTTTATTATGGAGCAACAGTCAGTCCATGCAATTTTGGACGCGATTTTCACTATGGGTCATCCGAAAACGGTCTCTATGTGCTTTAGTACAGAGGTAAGTGAAATGATTTGATTAGTTGATTGAAATTAATTAATCTCCTAATTGATCCATTTTTTTTTACATTTTCTAACCCTTCCCATTTAATTAGTTTCTACATCTCCTAGCATCCGTAGAACACATCTTATAACCAAATAGGAATAGAGGAATATAAAGCATCTTTCCCTTTTAGTACTCTATCCGAGAGCTATCACTATTTATCATTTCGATGGGTAAAAGATATTGGGGGTGTTTGTTTGAGAGGCTATCAACCACTTTTTGGTTGATTTGACTAATTTTAGCCTTTTGACCAAATCAATCAACTAATAATAGTGTTTGGTTAAATGGCTTTTTCAATTGACTATTTATCCCAAACAGCCAAAACACAAAAAGTTATCGATCCTGGCGTTTACTATCGGCGTTTTAGATTTTTCCTATATTACCCATACCTTTTTCGTATCTTCTTTCTCCTACCTGTAGAAAATTGCTTCATATAGTCAACTATCTGATTGTTCTCCTCAAAGTTTTGTCAACAGACTTGTTTTCCACATCAATTTTGTTCTGAAATTTTCTACGGAGTATTTCTTAGAGATTGATATATTTCCTCATAGCTGTTGGTGAGTGTAATATGCTCGATATTAAGCTAGGTTTTACAATATAAGAGAAAGCTTTGGGGATTCTTCAATGGCTGATGGAGAAAAGATGGATGAGGCCTTCCTAGACCTTTCAAAATCCATCAATTCCCAATATGTTGAAGAATCGGACCAGCAGGGCCGGTCCTGAGGAAATGAAGGCCCTGTGCAACAAAAATAATTGGGCCTTCTTTTCAAAGTTTCAACACAAGTTATAAAACTGAACCGAAACCGCACCGACTCAAACGAGACCTGAAAGTCGGGACTCGAACATAAATCGGTTTAATGAAGGTTTTTTGAGTTATAAAATCAGTTCAAACCGAATCGAACCGATTTTTATTAAGAGGTATTTTTAACTATTTATTTTGTAGAACAAATAAGTAATATAAAGCTTGTACGTCCTTATTTCAACAATTAGTTGATTCGGTCCAGTGGGTTGATGTTTAGAGATCAGCGTGCATGATTTATTTTATTTTCACCTGGGTTCGAATCCCGCATGCCTCGCTTCTTATCTTTTTAGTTTCTAAAGCTTAAGATTCTCACACCGGTGAAAACGGAGGATTTAGTACTCCTTCGTTCCTGTATATACACTCCACCTCTAAGTAATACTACTCCCTCCGTCCCAAATTGTTTTAAAAGAGTCATTTAATCAAACACTATTTCACAAACTGCTAAAACTATTAGCTAATTATAACAGCCAACAAAATCCACTGTCAACGATCAGGTAACACAATTGACCAACGGCTAACAGCCAACAACCATTTGCCAAACACCCCCATTCTCTTTTCCATTGGTGATTTTTGCAGCAAACTAGAGAATTTGCATCCACAAGCCATTCCATTTGTTTAAAATTTCGAATTGATTTATCATTTGGATTTGTTTTAGGATCACTCAACTTTTTTGATCAAACGTTCAATTTTCATTTCCGCGCTCAATCGTGTAATAATATAAAAGGTTAAAATTACTTTTGTTGCGAAATTGCGATCAGTTAATGTACTTATTTTAGCTATATATATATATATATATATATATATATATATATATATATATATATATATATATATATATATTAATTTATTAATAAAATATACAAAGAGTTTTAATTATAACTCATTTGCCACTATAATATGAACTCTCTCTTCTCTCTAGAGAGAGATGGACCATAGCAGTCGTCTCCCCCTCTTTGTAGGGGTTGAGATTTTTCGCCGCCCCTATCAATATGGGGTTGAAGCGGCAAATTATAATGATTTTAAGTGTTCTAACGTTTGGAATTGCTACTACGTCGGAGGAGACAGCGTTGGCAGATGAACGAGGTGCGGCTGAGAGGTTGTATCGAGGCTGGACCGTGAAGCCTTGGTCAGTTATTTTGATGATGGTGGAGTTGGTATTCACCCATATTGCAAGAGCTCCTCCTCCTTCAGAACTACCTCCGTAACAGGAAGAGCTTTGTAGAAAAATTTTATTTCAGTATTATTTTTTCTTTAGTGGCAATTGTTACTGTTTTAGTCCGAGTAGATTTGGTTTGAATGTCTGGATTTTTGGAGTTCTTTTGATAGGTAGTGATGGAGTATATGGCCCGGGAACCCCCGGCCCACAGACTCCTACTACTCCAGCGAAGGCCCAAAAGGCCCAACAGGCCCAAATCACAGCGCCCAGAGTACCAGGCAGTCCGCACTACGCGCCAGGGGTGCCTTCGGCCCCCTGGCCGAAGGCTCCAAATTCTCACAGGACGGGTTTCTCAAGCAAATTAAGAGACTGGGAGAAAACGGCGAAAACAGTAGCCCTCGGCACTGTGAGCCCTCGGCACCAGGGTGCCATCGGGTGGAAGAGCCCTCGGTTACTGCTCTATAGCCGAAGGCATCTCACTCGACAAGATATCCGCCTCACATGCGTACAGATCACCGTACCCCGCACAGACGTCCCGTCCAACAGCCGCATTAAATGCGGCCACATGCGGCTGCCAGCGCCAACCAGTTGAGGTGACCCCTCGGCCAATGAGCGCTTGACACGTGTCCCTGCCCGGCATTTATTGCTACTATAAATAGCACCCCATTTCCCCATTTGTAACCACGCTGAAAACGGCATTCATACTGAATACACTCTCTCTCTCTACTTTTACTTACTTGCTCTCACTTCTCTCTAAGTTATTCCCCGTAATAACCCTTCGGATATATACCCCCGGGTAGACTATCCATCATTTGGTGCTCTCATTGAGAGGTTGAACAATCGAGTAAGAAACCCTCCCCCTCGACCGAACACAAAACACTAGCCCTCTATCAAAATGGTGAGGACAACACGTGCCAACTCAAAGAACGTAGAAGACAAGAACCTGGCCCTCGGCGACGTCAACGCCCCCGAAGCATCTCACAGGGCTCCCGAGGGCGGTGTCATCGCTGGGCTGGAACAGGCGGCTGTCGACCTACGCCTTCAGATCCAACAAAATGCCCCCGATGCCCGACTCGGCATCGAGGCCAAGAAGAAAAACCGGAGCGATGACCAAGTCAGCCCTCCGGTTCTCACCATCGACGTGCAATCGGCGCTCTCCGCCTTCATCCAGACGATCACCCAGAACCCGGGTGCCTTCGGCACCCTGGCTCCAGCTCACCCTCAGATCGGGGAAAATATCATACTTCCCCCTCTGCCACACCCCTTCGGAAATCCCACCCCTCGGGTGAGAAACGACGAAGGGGTGGTGGCCCAAGATACGTCCTCCCAGGAAGTTCAGTCCCGGGACCGCCATAATGACAACAGGGAAAGGCCCCGTACTTCCGCCCTCAACCGGCTCGGAGGAGGGCCAGACCGCCGAGGGGTCCAAGACCGCCTCGGGGGGAAAGCACTCCAAAGGCCCCAGGAAAGCGGGGGATCTGTTTCGAGGGCAGACGAGGAGCGTCCCCTCGGGACAAAGGCAAGGCACCCCTTCATGCCAACGATGCCGGGCACCAAATCAACCAGGCCCACTCGGCCCGGATTCGTTCGCAGGGGGCGGAGACCCTCCCGAAGGATCCCCGGGACGAGATTATTGCGGCCCTCCAACGCCGGCTTGACGAGATGGAGTCCAACAAAGCTCACGCCACCACCTCCACCCCTCATTCAGATCTCAAATACGAGGCCATGATGGCCAAAATGGAGGAGTTACAGAAGAGGGTGGCCGAGGGCTCCGGGGAACCCGTCATCCAGCTCCGGACTCGGACGCCATTTACTCCAAGGGTATTGGCGGCCCGGATCCCGGAAAAGTACCGAGGGCAACATATACAGCCCTACAACGGAAAAACGGACCCCCAGGAACATTACAGCAAGTACCAGAACAACATGATGATGGTGGGGGCGTCGGACAAATATTTGTGTCGTTGGTTCCTCTCCACCTTAGAGGGACCGACATACGAATGGTTCAACAGGCTGCCCGAGGGCTGCATTGATTCGTGGCAAGAACTCGCCCAACGATTCTTGACACAATTCGCCGGGAGGCGTCGCACAAGGAAACACTTCTCCCACCTCCTAACAATACGCCAGAAGAAGGATGAGACCCTTCGGGATTTCCTGGAGCGCTGGAGGACGGAGGCCGACAAGGTCGACGGTGCTGATGACGGGACCCTCCTGGCCCTCCTACAAACCGTCCTCCGCACCGGTAACTTTTCAAGGAGCCTCATCATTGACCCCCCCCCCCCCCCCCCGCGACTACATAAGGGCTTTGCAGCGGGGGGACCGATATGCTGAGGCCGAGGAGGTGGAGAAGTATCACCAGCATCCGGACCAGCAGCCCCCGAGGGCTGACAACAAGCATAACCGAGGGCCGGGGGCTCCTCCAAATCACCCCAAGGCTTCGGGACCCTCGGATGACCGCCCTCGGCAAGGCCAAGCCAAGCCCGGGGGAGGTTATAAGAGCAACTCTAAGACTTGGGCCCAACCCATTCTCCTGGACCGCCCTCGGACACCATTGACGCACCCCGTCAGCATCATCCTCGATTTTGCCGAGGAGAGGGGCCTCGTTGAGCGCGACTCTCGCGCACCCCCGGAGGTACACGCTATCAACCCTCAGTTCCCCTATTGTCGCTTCCATCGGCACCAGGGGCACAGGACCGATGACTGCCATCAGCTGAAGACGGCCATCAAGAGATTAATACAGGCGGGGCACCTGTC